TTCAAGGCCTTCCTTTCTCATTTTCTGCCATTTTCCTGAAGGAAAGAGAAAAATTGACGTTTGGGGGGAAGTGATCTAACAATCAAATATTGTCTATTTAACCAAATATCAATCAGATCAATCCTGCCTTTTTTCCCCCAAGAGTTGAAATTTTTAACCTCTGTTACATGTTTGATCTTTAAAACAACTGTTCTTAGAAAATGGGTTGCCTGTTGCCAGAGACAGAAAGACAGAAGAGGGGAGAGAGAAGTGTGTGTGTGTAAATTTTACATCAGTGTTTTTAAATGTTGCTTGATCGTGGGGTATTCATTCTGAACGGTATTATGAATAGCAAAACCCTGATAGTTTCCTGGATTAGACCTATTAAAGTTGTTTAGATAACACGCTTTGAATGACTTCCTCTCAGGAAACATTGAAACTGGAAATGTTAACCAGGCACGCATACTCAGGCACTTAGAACGCATTGTTTCTTCTGCTATTAAAAAAAAAAAACTTAAAGGAAAGAAATTATGCAAATAAATCACATCTGTAGAAACCAGAATAGACTGTTTAGTTCAACTGCCAAGGGAAGAACACTTATTTATGAAATTCTTTATCTGTCACTGACAATGACCACAAGACGGGTCAGTACGTTCGTCTCATAATCTATGCAGAGCTAATTGCTAGCGTGAATGATGACATCAGAGTTGGAAGCGTGGAATCACAGATTGTACTCACATATGTTATGCATTTTGATGTATGGGAGTGGGGGTAACTTCCTTTAGAAGTACAGACATGCACAAAAATGTAGACAAAACTGTGGACTGCACCCAGAGAGTGACACTTAGTGAGGATAGTTCTGATCTGTTGAATCTGTGCGTGCACCTTCTGAGTCATGTCCCACAAACTGTGTGGACACTTTCTTTCAATTCATTTGATGTACGTTCCTCACCAGACCTGTAATTTCTTCATTCTGGAAGGTGTGTGTTTCTAAAGGTAAATAAGGAAAAATATAGTGAGTACTGATGTAAAAGAGTTGGAAAGAGCCATTTCTTCTTGTTTTTCCTTCATGTTTGAGAAGCACTGTTGGCTCCCTCTATGTTCACTGGAAACAGCTTGTTGTATGAGTGAACTTGTGTGTGTTTCTCAAATCTCATGAGAACCCTTTCTCTCAACATCCCTGTCTCCATCTTGGTCCAAACAGATGAACTGCCAAGTTTGGTTTTTTTTTACCAAGTTCCAGTAAAAAGGAAGTAGAGCAATGCATCTGAGCATTTTGGAGACCAGTTTATCCTAGAACAGTATATTTTGAATCATTTCAGTATGTTCCCTCCCTTTGGAATATAACTGTATTGATATTTCTGGCCCTATTCTGACAGTAAGTTTTATTCTGGGATAACATCTTCAATAAAAATTTGAGCAGCTCCTCAGTACAGAAGGAAGGGTGATGCCTAGAGGTAGTGGTTTGGGCTTGAAAACAGTAGTGCATGAAAATAGAAAACAACATGAAAATGCAGAGATGTGAAAGGGAATATGAAAC